AGCCTACGTGCGGCATTCTGAGAATCTGCATGCCGGACGCTTCTGTCCTCGGAGTTTCCTCCCAGAGAGCCATGACATGCTGGCCACGTTTGGCAGACATGCTTCTTCCATGCAGAGCATCCTCCGTCGTTACCATCACTTCTGGAGTTGGCAATGGAAAAAAGGCAGCGATGTGTGGCTTGTATCAGCAGTCGAGATAGGGCACTGAAGGAAATGTAATACAGAAGCTTGAATAATGAAAAATGCGGTTCTTTGTCTATGGCTCCTTATATGTTTGCTGTACTTCAGATTATTGTTCTGATTTTTAGTATTACGTCGCATCCTGAGTATTATCATGGTTATAGTCGTTATCTTCGGTACATTACGTCTTTTGTTATCGTAGTTGTTGTTTATTACCGTTCTTACTTCTGCTCGTACTACCGATGTCAACCTTTATGATGCTTGTATATTTTAGTATTATTAGTATAATTGCTATCAAGAATTTAAGATGGCTCCTGAGCAGTTTCCGTGAAGCTTGCCCGGGAAGGGTCTTTCGGCTCGACTCTCAGATCCCGGGCCTTCTCGAAGCCTAATATGAGACCCAAATATAGTACCCTGATCCTTCTTGTAAAGACCCCAAATTAAGGTACCTCTACTGTTCGTATAGGTGGGAGGCTTCATCGACATGGGAATTTCCGAAAATAGGGGACCCAAATACAGTACCCTAAATAGTTGGTTCCTTAATATAAGGACCCCAAATTAAGGTACCCCTAATTTTCGGAAACTATGTGGGTGGTTGTCAAAATTATGGCCCCTTTTTTGGGTCCCTATTGCAATACGGCAGCCTTTACTTAGGGTACCCAAAAATGGACGGACCTTAAGCCTGACAACTACCCATATAGGAGCCTATGCTACTGTGGGGGTTCCTTTTGGTATACCATATACCCCAAAACTCTAAACCCCTAAACCCTAAACCTTATTCTAACTCTGTGAGGCTGAGGGTGTAGGATTTAGGTTTTGGGTTTACGGTTTAGAGTCCAGGTTCCTGAGTAGTGCCCTTTTGCCTTTTTCTTTTTTGGACTCCCAAATTAAAACCAAATAGTAGGAAAACGGGTCCCTTATCATGCAGGGGCTATCCAGGAACCTAGAAGTGTAGTGTAGGACAGTGTTGGATTTAGGGTTCAGGTTCAGTTAGCCCATCCATACAAGTTGACGGAGTGTGTGAAATGTTGTCTGCACCTGTTCCAGCCATCTGGGAGACAAGACAGAAATTGGGGAAGTGGAGCCCGCATACTGCATAATGGTCACGAGCTCAGATTCCTTGCCGTAGAGCTGCCGATCTCCGTTCAGTTTGTTGGTTCCGTGGATTCCGCTGTCTTTCCTGACCACGCATTAAGAATGACCTTAACGGCAGGAATGGCATGATGAGTGCGTGAGTATGGACTTGGCGCCTGTCCTTCCAAAGCGTGTCGTTGCAAGGCGACCGAGCTTTGTACCATGTTGTGTGATGCCGCTGCCGCCCTCAGCCGTGGTGAACTGACAGAGGCGAGGTGGGTGTGTGTGTGTGTGTGACTGCGACAAGGATTTGGGACATGTGCCCCGTTCTCCACAGTCATTCTCAAACTCCAGCAGAAAGCTTGCAGTTGTTTTTGGATTGAAGTTCGTGAAGAGAGAAGAGGGCGACGACTGGCACATGTGCCTCACATGGTTCAACGGCTTCTCTCGGACCCACAACGCTCAAGCATACAGACAGGCACAGACAGCACACACACACACACATACAAACGCAAAGAGATGCACATAAACCGACCGAGAATCAAAGCAGGATGCTTGTGGCTTTAGGGCACGGTGCACCACATCTAAGAAGCACCAACCGTCTACATGTACTGGATTCTTGTAAACAGGCTTCATTACACGGAAGCCGTGTCATTTACTATGGATCTCCATTGTGGAGATGTAAGCTAGATTCCTTAACGATAATCAGTACACCCATTGAGACAATGGGCTTTGCACGTCGTCTTGCGATTAAAAGTTCAAGTCCTGCAGCCCTAAAGCCCCGACCCCCGCGCGCTAAACCCCTTCTGCCGAGATCCCCACAAAGCCCCTAAGCCCTAAGCGAAAGAAGCCTTAACACGAACCCCAACAGCAACCCCGACAGAAACATTTGTAGTAACCCTTACAGTAGCCCTAAAAAGGTACCTAAATCCTACAGCCCTTAGAGTAGTAGCCCCTATGGGAGTTTCCGAAAGTAGGGGTACCGTATTTTGGGGTCCTTATAAGGATTCTACTATTTAGGGTACTATATTAGGGTCCCCTCTTTTCGGAAACGCCCATATAGCACCCTTTCAACGGAATCCTGAAAGAAACCTTATCTCGACCCTACCATAACCTACTTTTTTGAAGGTCCTACGGTTGATGGTGTAAATCCTGCATTACCCATACTAAAGAATATACCATAATTCTCATAGTTTAGGTCCTTGAGGTAATGCAGGATTAGTATCATCAGCAGTAGTTATGGACCCTAGTTTGGAATCTGTAGGGATCCTACAAAAAAAGGTGGGTTCTGGTAGTTTAGAGTACATTCCAGTGGTATGATGCATTCACACGGTATGAAGGCTCCTACCAACTTAGTCACATCAAAGACCTTGAAAAGGTGGCCCTAAAACCCACCACTACAGTAGCAGTTCTTCGGTTGATGATATAAATCCTGCATTACCCATAGTATGGAATATACAATAATTCCCATAGTTTGGGTCCTTAATGTAATGCAGGATTTATACCATCACCCGTTACATCCCGCGAGGTGGAGCAGACGCTGAGTTTCCTGCGGTCCCGGCAGGCTCCGAACACCGCCGAGCCGAGACACCGTGCTCGCAAGGGTTCGCTAAAGGAATCTATTTAGGGTTTAGAGTTTAGGGGTTTAGGGTTTAGAGCGATCTATAATGAACGGGTTCTATTAAGCATTTTACAGGGTTCGAGACCACCAGATTCTGAAAATGGAGTTCGGTTTAGGATTGTAGGGCCTCTGTAAGGTTCTAACAATCTCTAAAAGGGATGTATTGTTTAAACGGGTTCTGCAAGAGGTTGTTCCTCGTAAGGGTTACTATCATGTTAAGGGCTGCTATAAGAGATCTCTAGGACCCAGAGAAGGCCCTTATTCCCTTTTTTAGGGTTTAGCTTCGCTTATAACCCCCTCTAAACCAAAAAGGGCACCCTTTCCATTCCTAGGTTACTCTTAGGTCTAGATCTGGTGTTCACGTTTTGGTGGTTCGTGGGTTTCAGTGTCTTCCTGCAAAGCGTATAAGAGCCACGGGGACGTTTGGGGTTCTTGGCGTTACTTTTCAGGGTTCCTTTATTGACGTGGCTTCCATGAGGGATCGATAAGACTTCTGTCAAGACTTGGAGGTTGGGGTTTTCAGGTGTTTGGGGTCGGGTTATCTTCAGCATTCGACGCGGGTCCATTGGGGGAGTTTGGGGTTTAGGCTTTGCAGCATTTGTAGTGGATACTGGGTTGGGTTTTCTTACCTTTGGTTAGTAGGGGAATGGAGGAATGGGGTACAATTACAACTACTATTACTACTGTGTAAACCTCGTTAAGGCATACTTATAACCTTACTTACTATGTCACCGGATCCTCCAAGTAGTCACCAGTATCCTATGTTCCTACCATTCTTCCATTCCCTACTAACCAAAGGCAAGCTTTGGGTTTTGGAGTTTAGGGCTTCAGGGCCTTTGGGCTCAATGAGACTTAGGGTTCAGGGTTTAGGGTTTAGGGTTTGGGGTTTAGGGTTTAGGGTTTAGGAGTTTAGGGTTTAGGGCAGGGTTGGGTTTTGGAGTTTATGATGTTCGTTCTTCTTTGACAGTTCGCAGGGCGGCAGCGGTTTCAGGATTTGGGATGGTGGTATCGGGAACAACTTGAAAAAACGCTGGGTTACTAGCACCCAGAGACTCCAATACCCCTTAATTAAGGAATATACCTTAAATTATAGTAGGACCCATAATATGATTTAAGGGATAATTCCTGAACTAAGTGGTATTGGAGTCTCTGGGTAGATAGAGAGCTACAAAGCCCTAGTTCCAAGCTGCAAGCCACCGTTTGGGGCCTTCTTAAGGAGCATTTTACGGTGATATCCCTACCTTATTGGGCTTCATTATAAGGGGGCTTATGTGGGATATCCCTATCCTCAGTTTTGCTTATGTGCCTTTTTGGGGCCCTCTGTCATGTCCAGGCCGAGTGGACGGCGTGGCACCTACTACTCTCTGTCATGGCTTCAGGTTTATGGGTTCAGGAGCGAGTCCTCCTTGTTAGAAGGAACCCCCAAAACCAAGTAAGGAGGTACTGTACTATAGGGACCTTTATAATTAGAACAGGGCTTTGGGGCCCATTATTCTATACTTATAACAAGGAACCCCCGAAATAGTATTGGTTACTACTCAGGCCCCTATGCTACATCCTTGGTTCAGGAGCAAAAGGGTTCTAAGGTTAAGGCTTGAAGGGTGGGACATCGTATTTTGCCTACATCTCAGACCGGAATGAGCCGTCAACCCGATATGAACGACGAAATAGTTGGCAAACAAACAAAGCGAGAATCTCATCATTCATGAGACTCTTCACCGCTTAGGGCAGAGAGCTTGTAGATGGCGCTGTATAAGCAGGACTTTGAACGCAATTGAACACGGCGAGTCAGAAGCATCATCTCATTATGCGCAGGTGGCTTTAGGATGACCTGCTTTCACGAGGGGTCTCTGCTGCGGTATGCTTTGACTTGATGACTTGATGTTAACCTTGCATCTTGCCGTCCACTCCATGCCCAGGCGCCCGACATGAGTTCAGCTGCGCTGAAGGTGCCGAGAAGAGAGAAGAGAGAGAGTGCTGCCACAATCGCCAGCCCGCCATTAATGGTCCCAGCACCTGTCGGAAGTTTTATCCAATTTATCCACGAATCTCGGATTGAAATGAGAGGTGCTGTGTGACCTGCGCACATTAGCTGCAAGCCGCGTGCTGGACCTGGAGAAACTCA